ATCTATCTATCTATCTATCTATCTATCTATCTATCTATCTATCTATCAATGTACATGATCAGGAAAGAATGAAAGCAGAGAAATGTGAAAAGGAAATGAATTTATATCTGTTCTATATAAGGTACACAACTGGCAAAACATCAGCCCACAACCATTGTGCCATATGGCGATATCTAAAATCCACTCCACCAATAAATCTAATGGTTAACTACCTAAACATTTTAGGTCCCATACGCTTTAATGAGAGAGGGAGGAAGGAGGGAGGGAGAAAGTACAACTCATTCCCTGCATATACTGGAATGCACAACAGGATCTTACAGATCCAAATAAAGTTCACCTACCTGAAGGTTTTGGAGTCCTCCATAAGCGGTAAAGAGAAATGTGAATCCAAATGAAATCACAAGAATGTTTTTCAGATAAGAGTCCATAGCTGAGTTATAGATGTTCCCAGTGGAGCAACCTGTCTTTCCTTCACCTTTAACATAAAGGAGTCATGTTAGCTACATGAATACCTGCCCACAAGCATTGCTTTCTTCAGCACTGAAAATGATATAGGTCTGGTAGCAATGGTAAGAAATGGTACCAATTAACTTGATTTGAAGTATTGATTGATATCCACAAAAGGCATACAACATTTGTATGATGTCTTCCCTTACACTCAATTTTGTAAATCATTTCTAGCCACAGGGCAACTTTCCAGATTGCCTTTTTGAAACAGATCTCCCTTCCTGGCCCACTCATACTGAAAGAGAAATATATTTTAAGAAACAGGTGGGTGAGGTACCGTTTTAGCTTACAATTCCATTGGAAAGGTCACTTGAAAGCTGTAGCACTTACTGTTCCCCAAAATACTGTTCCTCAAACTACATTCTTCCAGTTACGTTGGAGTGTAATTCCCATCACACCCAGCCAAGATGCAGGTAATTGGACTCCGAGATATTAGATATCTCTGTGACACGCATGTGCTGCACATACTTAAAAAAGAGAATGTATGTGCAACAAGTAAAATTAAACCGATCTATATAGAACGAGAAACTGAGAGATCAACAGATATACTGTAGAGTAGAAACGAAGAAACCAAGGAGCTAAGAGTATAGATACAAAACAGCACCAAGAACACATACATTTAATAATGAATAAATAAATAAACAATAAAATCATGCCAAACTATAAGAAAAATCTAGGCAAATATGAAAAACTAAAGACAGAGATCTTTCTGTCTCTAGGAATAGTTTCTGTATAGCCACAAGCTATGACTAAATACAAGAAGATAATTTATAAATCATGGTTTGCAAACAATTGTGTACATAAATTTGGTTAGAATCATCATCATCATCATCATCATTAGTTTTTGCCTCAGCATGTCCCATAAAGCCTCAGGTGTCAGTGGATCCAGAACACTACTAGCCTATTTTCTTCTGCAGGGGCTGAATTTTCAAACTTATTGTGAGTGAATCTTTCCAAAGGAATGTGCTGCCTCTTTACTGTAAGAATTTGTCAAGGCTGCTTTTTTAAAAAAATTTGTACCAAGCTCTGAGTATACCTCAAAGGCCTGTAGTATGTCAGCCTTGACACCCTTCTACTTTTTTCTGACAGGACACCTAAGATTAAACTGACTCCAAAAGATCCCAGACAGTCTTTGCATTTCTGTCTCAGCTCTTCTATATGCAGGGAATTTCAAGAATGCCCCCTTGAATACCTTCCTCGCTATAGCAATGCAGGCCTGTCACAATAATTTGCTATAGAATGGGCACTTGTAGCAAACCAAGGAACACCTTTATGTAGCTTTAAAAAAAAGAAAGAAAGAACTCCATTTTCCCTTGAAGTTCAATTTTCCTTTTCTCTAAACTTATTTCAGTTTGTTTACTAATGGCCATCTTTGCATTTCTGTTTATTTATTTATTTTTACAAATTTTATTAATTTTCAAAGAGAATACACAGACAAACAAAACATAAAACATAAGAACATAGAACATCTTTTCTAAAAACTGCTTAACAAAACAAATAAGACATCTCATTTAAGTACAACATAGTTCTAAATTATCACGTTTCCACACACAATTTAATATGCATCTTATATATTCAACTTCATATCTTATTACTCTTTTCCAACTTCTCACTGTTTCTTCCTTTATTTCTGTTCAATTTTATTCATTAAACTTATACTTTCATGTATTTCATAGTACTATATTTCGCATTATTACTATTTCATATGTTCTTATCCAACATCATTAATCCTCAATAAACAAACATAAACTAACAAAATACATAACATAAAAACATAAAACTTCTTTTTAGAAAGCGGCTTAACCCCGGGTTATAACTTTTTGTACAGACATAAATCAAATTCATGCTCACCTTATATACTATTTCATATCTTATTTAAGATTCTATATTTTCTATATATCTTCTCCCCTCTTTTCACTCTCTTAATTCTATTTTATTTATTTAATCTCAATTTAAATCATGATACTTGTATCTTTTGTCCATTCTTTTTCAATTATCCATTTATCTTTCTCTTTAACACAAACTTTTTCCTGTAATCACTGGTTGAAGTATGACACCTTTCTATTTTCCCTCCAAATTTAACACTTAAAATAATACATAGTTTCTATTCTGATTCTGCTTAGTACATTCTACATAACAGTTTAAAATATAAAACATAATGATCTTACAATATATTAAAAATAAAGTTCCATAACAAATTAGTTAATTAAACTAATTACACATTAATTACACATTCCCTACAATATTCTATTAACACATATTTCAAATACAAATACTAAAATACAATCTTGTGTACTTTTGCAGAATCTCATTTTAGATTATGTTTTACCCTTTATCTCTGAAAAAATCCTGTTTATTAGCATCTTGTTTTAAGCCTTTATAACTTCCCTTCACTTTTTCCCTTCCTTCCTTGTCAAATCTAACCTTTTTACCCACCCTCTCTCAATCTCCAGCCTTTTAGTCTCCCCTCTCTGTTGTATTCCTCTTTTCTGTTGCTTTCTGTCATTATATCGATTTTTCACCTTACTTTTCCCTTTCTTGGTTGTTTTTTTAGAACTTAAATTCTTCATTTTCTTCTCCTTTTTACCCTTTTTAAAAATCATATGTCCATTAAAGATGGCTTCTTCTTCATCATCCCAGCCTTTTTCTTGTTGCATTTCCTGATAAGTAGAAATTGCCATTTCTAAAAAGCAAAGGATAGATCCAAAAGAACCCTTGCCTTCTTCTTCCTCTTCTCTTAATTTTTCAAATTGCATTTTCAGTTCTTCAACAGATACCATTGTGAAAAAAATTTTTTTTTAAACAATCCAAATGTTTTCTTAGTCTTTCAAAAGATAGTTAAAGTCCCAAAGTCATCAAGCAATCAAAAGCAGAGCAATCAGCACAGTCTGTTTCACTTTCTTCTACTTTCTCTTCCTGGGGCAGAATTCAATTACACAAGTCCAAGGTATTTTTTGGAAGTTTTATTGCGATTTAATCTCTAATCTTATAAAACTCCAAGCAGTCTCCTTCATCAAACGTTAGTATAAATCATTTACCTCTCTTCCTTCCCACTTAAAGCCAAAAGATTTTAATTTTTAAATATCAGTGTTTAGAAATCTAATGTCCCCTTGGCTTCAATTTTGAAAGTTAATACCTTCTGCTGCCAAAGGGGGTATTTCCAATTTCCATCTGCTGTCTCTGTGGGAAGGAAAATAAGGAGAAAAAAACCTTTCCCTTTACTTTCCACCGCAGCTTAACGATCTTCTGGGAAACAATATATCACTTAAAGGGCCAAAGTTCCAGGGTATTCAGATGTTAATTGTCATCCCAGTTCAGCCAAAAGCTTTCTCTTTCTTCACTTTCTCCTGCACACAACTTGTCCGGCTGAGAGGTTCTTTGTGACGGCCATTGCTGACCGTCGCTCTACCACCTTTGGAAAAGGGAATTAAGCCGGCTGGGAAAGGGGGGTGCGATATCCCCCGACCCTTGCCCTGATCTCCCCTCTTCAGTTATCCCTACAGGGTAACTATAGCCTCCTGATCCAGTTGGATCGAAGGCACTCCAGCAGCGAGCGCAGCAGGGATCGCGCACAAACACCAATTCCTGCTGCCTCTGAAGCCTGACAAACCGGAACTCCTGCATTTCTGTTTAGATAGCCATACAACTTTAACCAGCACAACAGTTCAATATTTGGGGTATATTATCAGCTATCCTAAAGCATGGCTTTCAATCATCTTAATTGCCTTATATAGTAAAGTTTATGAAACTTTTTTTCAATATCCTACACTGCACTCAGCAGATTGCTTGAGTTTGCATAGCATGCTAAGCCATCATGGTTTACAATCATGCATTCATCTGTACCAAGCAAAAAAACCCTAAATAATCGATTTAATGTAATGTATTAACTCAGTCTGATACGTTAGCAGCATTTGCAAAATATTGTATTGTGTATATAAGCATATCATTGATTAGTAATATTATACAATGTTGAATATATTATTTGCTCAATATTATGTTGTTAACAGTGTATTTTAATTGTAGTCTTTACCATTAAGGCTTTTTGTGATAGGTTTTATTGTAAACTACCCAGAATCAATCAATCTTTTATTATGGTCATAGACCAGAGTTAAACATTTATTTTAAAAACATTAAAATAAATTAAAACAAAACAGGACATAATGTTATATTACAACAAATGGTGATATCATCAACCATGGGCTGTCAAACTCTGTCTGATTTTACAGACAAAATAGCAGAATTTAGCCACATTCAAGGAAACTATATCATACTGATTTGATAGTAACAGCTGTACATAAAAGAGACCAGAATTTTACGGATATTTTACAAAGTAAGGAGTTATAAAATGGGTCCATGAATAGAGGGATCACCCAGAGTCACTTTACTTTGAGATGGGCGGATATACTAAACAAATAAATAATTAAATGCAGGTAATCCTCAACTTATAGCCATTCATTTAGTGACCGTTCAAAGTTACAACAGCACTGAAAAATGTGACGCAAGACTGGTTCTCCCACCATTGCAGCACCCCTGTGGTCATGTGATCAAATCTGGGCGCTTGGCAACTGGCATATATTTAGGAAGGTTGCCCTGCCCAGGGTCACATGATTGCCGTTTGCTATCTTCCCAGTCAGCTTCTGACACACTGAGTCAATGGGAGAAGCCAGACTTGCTTAACAGCTGAATGATTCACTTAACAACTGCAGTGATTTGCTGAACAACTATGGCAGAAAAGAGTTCATAAAAATGGGGCATGGCTTGTTTAAGGGCCGCTTTGCTTATTAACAGAAATGTTGGGCTCGGTTGTAAGTTGAGGATCACCTGTAAATCAGAGCGGTGTAAACGCAAAGAGCAACGCAAAGATTTGTATCTGACTCTGTGACGTCAGGAGGTGAATGAGGGCTTTTGAAGGAAAAACCATCTGCTGCTCGCTTTTTCTCCTCTGGAAGGACTTCACACCACCGCACTTGCTTCCTACTTTCCCCTCATCATGCTTTTCATATGAACTGCAGGCTTAGTATCTCAGTTCACATTGAAAAGTGTGAACATTTTCTTTTGTGCCTGCACATTCATGCTTCTGCACCACTCCACAGAAAAGGAAACTGAAAGCTCAGTTCAGGTGCTAGATTTAAAAATAAATAAATACATAAAGGCATTGAATAACATCCAATGTCACATTTAGAGTGGAAGTCAACCTGGACGGAATCCTTCGGTAGAAAGGCTCTCAGTTCCATCCTTCCAGATCGGATCATTTTCATTTTCTTCATAGAAGGATCATTTCTTGTCCCTTTGACCCCTTGTGACATTTCCCCAAAAGATCTAAGTTTGGGAGCCATCCAAAGCAAGCCCTGCAGGGAGCATTATTTTTGATCCAAAGCAGAGGCCCATTTGATAAGACAGGGGATCTTTTCCAAGTTTCTCAACTATATTGAGAAAAGACTGGCATTCCAGGACAACTTATGTCCCTGGAGCTCATGTGGAAAAAGGAGAAATTGAGACTGGGATCAAAACCATCTTAGTCTTCTTACCTCCAATGTTAAGTTTGGTGCTTGGGTAGCTGATCTGCTGCAATGCCCCCCTCTCTCTTCCTCCCCTCCCCTCCCTCCCTCTCTCCACTTTCATCCTACCAAACAGCTAACTACAAACCAATATTTAATATGGATCAATTTATCCAGAGCTGGGCTACAATGATTTGTACCAGCTCTATTTAGATATTTGCATGCCTTGGCAAAGCAAACAGATGTGAGGACTTTTCCACAGAGGAAAGTGGGAAGATGATTCCAGAGCCCAGAAAGAGATCAAAACATTGACTCAGGCAACCTGTCTGTTAGGAATATAAGTCACCTAACAGGTATTTGGGTTAGAAATATATAAACCAGGATAAACATTTTAGTACTATATCTTTAAGGGAATGCAAGAGCATGCAATTGGGTGTGGTTTCTCAAACAGCCATAAGATGGAGCCAGAAACCTGGATTGTCTTAGTCTGAGTCTCAGAAGAGAGTGTATCTCTGTTTCCTTCTGTTGGAAAGTATTGCCGTTGCTCCATTTCTTCTAATTGACTGATATTACTGGATTTAATGTAAGTCTGTTACTGAACTGGTTTTTGACACTGGAGTTTGATATTTGGATTATCCCTGGATTGAAAACTGACTGATTTAACTTGTGAATGACTTTTGGACTGTTTGTTTTTGAACTTTGCTTAAACCTTTCTGGAAGTAAAACCCTACATTTACTGTACAGTGTATCTGTGTACTGTGTGTGTATTATTCAAACACTACTCTCAGATACGTCTCCCTGTATGCACTCATTCTCCTAACGAGGAATTACCTCAACACTGTCCTTTACATGTCTTATTCGCGCAACCTTCAGCAGGCTTGTTGCCATATACCTGTAGCTTTTGTACCATGCAAAAATAGGGAACTATATCATTCAATAGCTAGTGTCAGATTATGGTCTGGGAGACCAATAGCAAATTTTATTTGCCATTTTTGCAGATTCAGTCAGCTCAGTCCTCTGGTTGTCAAACTGAAACTGAAAGTTGCCACCTATCCAGTCATATCTTGATTTATCTGGCCCAAGAATTAGCTCACCTGTTCAAAAGAGAGCATCTTTCTCATTTCCTGCTAGATTTGATTGACTGAATGTAGGAGACACCTTCCTGGAAAAGCAGGTCTTCTATTAGTAATCTAAAGTATTAATAGATTACTATTGATCAATAATTAATTAATTAATACTCTCATTAATCTCCCATTAATAATCTCTCATATGGGTGACTGATAATGCCTGTTTTATACTATATATACTTGTGGATAATCTGAGAATTTAAATTGAGTTTGGTTTATTTGCAAATAGGCTTATCCATGAGTATGTATAGTAGACTTTTTCCCTCAGCTTTTAAAAAGTACCTGTATATCCTAAAGATAAACCCATACACTGATAAATCCATACACTGATAAACTGACCTTGAATTCATTTCCAAAATACCATGGGAAATGTGCCACCCGTGGATATGCCAATTGTGAAAACCTAAACATATGAAATTTCAAAGGTCAGCTTATTTGTAGGTGGCACATTTTTCATGGTATTTTGGATATAAATTTGAGAGTCAGCTTATCTGAGAATGGGCTTACATGTGAGTGTATACTGTAGAACAATACAACAAAAAAAGACGCATGCTATAATTATTTTCTTAAAATAGTCACAATTATTTCAAATCTGCATCAAAAAGTAATTCAAATTATTGCACTCTTAACATTTTTCTTATTATTATTAAATCAGTACACATACCACTGTCTATGGTATTTAATATACATTATGAGTAATATCTTTCATATTTACTAATTTTTCAAAAGTATGTTTGAGTAGGTGTCTAACAAATGGACAGCCACAACTTTGGCCAGAGCTTCTGGACTCCCAAAATATTGTTATCTCAGACTCGTTGATAAGACCACCATGATAGCTATGAAACTGACCAGAAGCAGCCTTAAAATGTCAGTCTATGCCAAACAGCTCAGGAGATAAGGCTTAAAAGAAACCTGGTTCAGATAATCAGCTATCTGGTTATGCTCTTATAGTACCTTGAAAAAATTTCCAGTTTAGTTTCATCATCTCCAAAAAAGACTGAGTACTCGCAGCTTTATTCTCCATTTGAGATGTTGATTCTTTAGTCCTAGCAGTCCTCCTGAAGCATTTTAGTTTGATGATACCTAATCAGGGTGAGGGCAGGATCCACTGAAGTACAGATATATCAAATTGTATTAATAGATAGCTAGACAGATTGGTGTGTGTGTGTGTGTGTGAGAGAGAGAGAGAGAGAATATTATGCAGTTTATATCTTTGAACACATATATGTGATCTATTTTTCTCTCTCTTTCTCTTTCTCTTTCAAATGGAAATATCATTCATAGGGCAATGATACATCACACGTTTACATGTAAGGATGCCAGCATGTGATATAACATTCATCATAATCACTAATTAAAAGCACTTTTCTCTCCCCATCTGGTCTCTCATTTTTAGTCCATAAATAATAACAACAACTTCTTACACTGAATGGTATTCTTGGCCAGATTAAAAATGCCCAAAAGGTGCCAGGTTCTGAATGCAGAATAATATACAAACATTGCAAAAGAAATATATTTTGCAGCAAAAACTACCGGTATATTGTTATTATTGTTAATTTATTTGCTAACAATCCAATGGACTTCAAAATATTTTAGTGGGGAGTGGGGAGGGGAAGTTTTAAGTGCTTCTTGATAAGTTTTTAAATTTTAATAGCAATAGCATTTAGACTTAAATACTGCTTCACAGTGCTTTACAGCCTAAGTGGTTTACAGAGTCAGCATATTGCCCCCAACAATCTGGCTATTCATTTTACTGACCTCAGATGGATGGAAGGCTGATCTTGATCCCGTCAAGATTGAACTGCTAGCAGTTGGCAGAGTTAGCCTGCAATACTGCATTCTAACCACTGCACCATCATTTTAAAGCTCTCCTACTGAACCTGTGGGTGTTAATAGGAGGCTTCCATTCCCTGCTTTTTCTTGTTTATTTCCAAGAGAATCAATGAAGAAGAAAACATTGGAGCAAGCGCAAGATGATTTTGATGGCAGAAGAAAACTCCCACAGGCATTCCTAGAGCTCTGACCAATTACATTAAAAGGAAGTCAACGGAGACACACACTGCTAAAACTACCTCTGTTGCTGAACCTTCCTCCACTTGTTTCTCACTGACGCTGCACCTAGGCAGTCTTGTCTTCTAACTTGTTCAGTCAGGTTACTTTTGAAATCACGTTCTATCCCATCCACTGCAGGACTGATGGTAATTGTCCAAGAACGGTGTTGGGTATCTGAGCTGCTATTTCAAGGAAACCTCTTCCGAGGCTGGTAGTCCTATGCTATTTAAGTCTGTCTCCTTATTCTATTTGAACACCAGTTTCCCAATCAAAACAGAGAACTTTATAGTAGCTTTGGTCTCTCTTGACTGAACACATGCTCACTGTTTCTGAAACACGCCTTTAAGCAAGAATAGAAAATGTGTTGCAATGCCACCTATTTCTTTCACCATCCTCATCTTAATTTCATATAAAGATTTGTCAATCCAGGCTCACAGAAGTGACCTCCCAAATTACCTGGTTCCAGGAAGAAGGGAAGGCATCAGCAAAGTTACTTGCTTCTTCTCCCCAAGTGACTCAGCAGGTTTGAGCGAAAAACACCTCTGCAAGACACATTGTGTCAATTACCCCACAAATGGCTGTACAAAGTTAGTAATTAACAAACAAACTCTGGATAAAATCTAATCTTTTTAAAATGTAGCTCTTTTCATGAGAGACAGTATTCACTTGCAGTAGAATCTTTACAGTCATTGTTAGCCAAATATATACAGTATTTAAATTCTCTTAATCTCTGAACAGAACTAAGGTAGTCCTTGACTTACAATAATTTGTTTAGTGACCATTTGAAGTTACAACATTACTGAAAAAGTGACTTATCAGTAGTTTTCATACTTAAAGTTCACTGCAGCATCTTTACAATCACATGGTCAAATTTCAGGCGCTTGGCAACTGACTTGCATTTATGACAGTTGCACTGTCCTGAGATCATGTGATTACCAGTTTAACCTTCCCAGTAGGTTTCTGAGCAAGAAAGTCAATGGGCGAAGCCAGGTTCGTTTGATGATTGCGTGATTCACCATAGCAATTTGCTTAACAACAGTAGCAAGAAAAGTCATAGAATGGACAAAATCCACTTAACAAGTGCCTTGCTTAGGAACATAATTTTGGAGCTCAACTATGGTTGAAGGTCGAGGATGAGAACAAGACTCTGTAACTAATCCTTTCTGATGGGAGAGCTGGAAACGATAAGGAAAGAACTGGAGATAACTATATGGAAACTATTGCTGCACCTACCAGCAAAGGGCTCCGGTGATGTCTGAGAATTGAGGAGACATCCATCCTCTCCTTTCAACAGATATTCCATGAAATATCTCATATTCGATGTGTTTAACATCTCATTATTAACTTGAATCTGATACAAAGTTATAAGCGGGTCCATAATAAATACAGAAACTGGACAACCAGATCAAAATGTCCCTTAAGAGTCTACCCAAGAATGGTCAAATTACAAGAGAAGAACTCTGGCAAATGAAAAGCAGTGGATCCATTCTCTAACATTTCTATGGATACCCAGAAACACACAAGTCCAACATACATCTTTGTCCAATTGTACCATTCTGAGAGACCCTAATTTACCATATAGTCAAAAAACTCTCACACACAAAAAAAGCTTGGACAACTCGTAAAGGAGAGTAAATATTTGATCAACACCCCACCATAGTGATTCCACAAAATCAAAGCCCTAAAAATAGAGGAAGATGAAATTATAATTTCATTTGATATCACAGCACCCTCCATGTCTACAGATTGAGAATTAGCAAAAGAATTCATTGCATCAGTACTACATAGCATCCTTGGCTTAGACAAATATGCTAAAATTGAAACACCCAGGATTATACATCACATCAGCCTCTGCCCAGTTTGATGGACAAATATACCAGTAAATCAGAGGCACACCCATGGGAACGTCATTTTCAGGATTCATAGGAGACACCCTAATGCAATGCTTAGAAACTATAGCACTCCCACACATGAAACCAGACATATGGATCTGGTATGTAAGTGACACTTTTGCCTTAATAAAAAGAGGATCAACGTGAGACAATCAACAATATCTTCAAAGGAATAAAACTGACAAGGTAGGAAGAAAACTTCCTGGATATCCGCATCAGTAGAGGAAACAATGGCAAATAAGAAACACAAGTTATTGGGAAAAAAACCCAACCCATACTAACCAGTGCTTCCTTACCAAAGTAACAATCCAACCTCCCACAAGAGGAACTGTGTGGAAGCAGAAATGCACTACAGCAATCTGGAACAACAACAACAACAACAAAAGGAAACAGATCACTTATACAACATCTTCCAACAACATAGATATCCATGCAACTTTATCAAAAAGTGTCTGAACATTTAACTGACTATAGCACAACCAGCACAAGCTAGGAAAAGGCATCATCCAAAACATCTCAGAAAGAACTCAATAGATTTTTACAACCACAAGCATCACGTAGCACTCAAACCACTTCAAGCCCTCCAAAACATCTCAACAAACCAACAGACCCAGTAGCCCAAGAAGAAAAAAAATAGGTGTCACCTGCCATACAACATACAGTTTAAGGACTGTAACAACCACTAGGTAGGACAAGCAGAAGGCGAGCAGTGCACATCCATGAAAGCCAGTCAGAAGTCTTGATGAAGTAATCTCACTCTCAGCCAGTCCTTGAGTATTGAAGATTTGTCCTGAAATGAATACAAACTCCAGCTCCTCTGTAGTACAATTATGGTTTATTCATAAGATCAGCAAACAACAAATACTCTTACCTGACAAGAAAGGCTAAAAGCTAGGCAAGGTTAGCATTGGGATTGAGTTTGTTCCTTTTTCTTTTATTACCATTACCATTAGACACACTCCACCATACCCATGCCTACATGCCTAACCCATTATCCCCAAATGCCCCTAATTTTGGCCAGGCCTAACCCATTATCCCCAAAGGCTATTAACTCTATAAAATGTTTACGTCCCTAGTCTATCCTGACACTCACTAACTGATCCCTACCTTGTGCCACCTTCACCATATCTTACATTAGGTCTAAACTATCACCCATATGTGGAGAACTCGGAGCCCGACACTCACTTGATGAAATAATCTCATGTCTTCTTCATTAGTCAGATAACCCAGATAAACAATGATGAACATCAAATAAACAATTAATCAGAAAATAATACCCAGGAGAGGGCAGAGCTGGCGTTGTGACGATATGGCATGCAATCTTGGAGGTCTGAGATCGCTGCCGATATCTTTGCTCCTGGATGGTCCAAACGGATCTAAACCATCCCGAAGAGACAGTGAATGTAAAGAGTGCATCCTGTCGATCCCAGGGATATCACAAAGTCCCTGGTAGATCCAGGAGAAGCTCTTTTTGCCAGCGGCAAAGAGGCAGCCATTAAAGCTGCTGAAGTTGGGACAGCTCTGAAACAGAAGAGAATAGAAAGAGAAAGTGTGCCGTTTTGTGAGAATTTTTTTCTTTACTTTAAGATTTAAAAGGACACTCTAAGGAAAAGAATCTGTAAAATTTCAGACAGAGTAATTAAGCAGTGATTTTAAATGGAAAGTCAAATTAATTTTTTCTTTTTTTTTCTGGACTCTTTGCATACGATTTTATACTTTGAACTGGACTGGTCTTTTTTTTCTATCTTATTTTTCTTTTTTGTCTCTTCTCCTTTTTGTCTTTACAATATTTTAGGCTAGAGATCCCCTTTTAGCCCTTTTTTTTTCTAAACCCTTTTTCCTTTTAAATTAATTTCTTTATAATAATTTGTTTGGAAAAGGAGGGGGAAAGTGAAAGCAGAGGAAACTTTGTAACACTGCCAACTAGAGGCTTAGAAATATTGTTTTTTTCTCTCTTGGCCAGACAAAGCTGAGAAAGAATTCAGACTTCTTTTCAAGGACTCTGAGCCTGTCTGATAAGATAGAGGGAAGAGCAAGGGAGAGTGTTATTGCAGGTGCTCTTCTGCGTTTCTATGAGTAGCTGGAGTCTGGTGTTGAAGTACACAGAAAAAAGATGATAAGACTCTAGAGAAGAGAGCTATAAAAATTAACAAAAGCCTTGGATAACTAAATAGGTGCAGTGTGTTCTTTTTCTCTTTTTTGAATTGGGCTATTTCTCACACCCCCTCCTCATCAGCTTATTATTTGTAATAGTTATTTGGATCTCTGGACTTTTGGAATCTGCTTTTGTCTTTCTTTTTGCTATTGGAGCCTAATTTTTACTTTTGCATTTTATTTTAAAGGGAAAGTCTTAGTATTAATGTTTTCTCACTTTCTTTCTTTTTTTTAAGGGAGTAGGCTTTTACTTTTTTCCCCTCTCTCCCTCTCCTGCATTTTTTATTTACCCTCCATATTGGTTTCTTTTTTGTGGCTTCTTTTTTTTTGTATACTTTTTTATACCTGAGACTTTTTAATTGGATTAAGGTGTTGAAGAATCTGAAGAAATTTCTTTTTCTTTTTAGTTTTTTACTTTTTATTTTTCTGCCTTCCACAAGATTTAACTATTTTTTCCTTTCTCTGTTTATGGTTTTTTTTTTGACTATTTAATGAATTACTATTTAATGAATTTATTTAATGAATTGATTGGATTAAGGTATACAAGAACCTGAAGAAATCTTTTTTTTCCTATCTTGCTTCTTTTTTTCCACTATTTTTACTTGGTTTTACAATTGGCTATTTCACAAGTGGATTAAGGTCTAGAAGAACCTGAAGATTTTGAATTGTCCGAAATGAGCAGGAAACTAGCAGCGGCTGGTTCTTCAATTCCTACTTCTTCCTTTTCACCATCGGGAGGACAACACTCAATACAGATGATGTTACAACAAGAAAAAGAACAGGAAAAGGTGACATTGCAGATGATAATGCAAGGAATTCAAAGCATACAAGGAAGAACAGAGAA